GCTTAGTTGGGTTGAACTTTTAAAACCAGTAACCAAGGGAGTCTGGATTCGTACACAAAACTCAAAAACCAAACCCACTGCCATCAAGACAAATCTGACTCATAGTGACCCTGTAGGACAGAGTAGAACTTCCCCATAGGGTTTCAAAGGCTATAAATCTTTACAGAAGCAGACTACCTCATCCTTCTCCCATGGAGCAGCTGGTGAGTTCAAACTATCAACTTTTGATTAGCAGCTAATGCCTTTTGATTAGTAGCCACTGTACCACCAGACCTCTTCTGGATTGATACATAGATATGACTTACGTTGTGGGATGCACAAAGCCAGAAATGGATGCTTCACGTTTAGAAACAGTCCGCTTCAGTAGCTACCAAGGTCTCAAGATGCTCTGGGATATGTATGTGTCAAAATTTCAGGGAGAGACAGACTATGGGAATAAGCAGCAGAGGGACCAGTGAGGTCTCTGCAGTTCCTGAATGATGTATCAACCATGATCATATACTGGAAATGGGTGCCCACTGACACTTCCTATAGAGAATTGTACACTCATAACTCACTCCATCACAACATAGTGTGTCCCTGAGGTTCCTCACACTGTGGTAGAACACTGTGTGTGTCTACGGTCCTTGCTGGACCTGGTTAGTAAGGAATCCATAGAAAAGATGGAGTGAGGCAAGGCTGAGGTTGCATAGGACACTGTCTTCGGAGAACTCCCCCTCGGTCTGCCAGGGTAAGAGGAGCTTGGCCTGGGAATTCAGGGTGGGCTTTTCTTTGAGGGCCATTTTACCAAAGGACACCTATTTATTTGCTTGTATGGAGGTGAAGCCACACTATGCTCCTGTGAAACTGACCTACGCAAAGAGAAGTCACATTCTGTCTGCAGTAAGAACTGTTTGGATCAAATGGATCCTTAGCATTACAAGCACCTCAATCTTTATTTTCCTGTAATTATGTCTCCAAGAAAGCATAAACCATGAGCATAAACCATGGCAGCTGCCACTAGGCTCATGCTTTTAGGATGAAGGTCTGACATAGCAACAAATGAAAAGAGGAAAGAAGAAGGAGACCCCCGTTATGACAAAGTAGCCATACTCTGGACCTGCTGAAAAATGTCCTCACATGTACAATATGACACATGAACAAGGATATTTACTGCAACACTTTTTTATAATAGCAAAAGAGCAAAAATAGTCCAAGTGTCCATCCACAGGAGACAGGTGAAATCCACTGTGATACAATCACATAATAGATAACAGTGTTTAAAAAAGGAAGAAGCTCTTTATGAATTCATGTGGCAAGATCTCCAAGATAATTAATTTAAGTGATATAAGCAACAGTGCTAATAGTTTGCTACCAATCGCTGGAATAGGACTTCATGTTTGGTAAAGCAGAGGGTCAGCAAAAATTAGAGAAGCCCTCCTGAGATGGACTGACTCCACAATGATGAGCTCACGCACACCAACAATGAGGAAGAGGGTGCAGGATCAGGAAACGTTTTGTTCTGTTGTATGTAAGGTCACTATGAGTCAAGTCTGACTCAACGGCAGTTCACAACAACAACTGTTAGTGCAAGGAAGGAATGAAAAATAAGAAAGTATATTTAAAGATGCTTGAATTTGCATAAAGAAACACAGAAAGGATATACAGGAGAGAAAAGTAGTTACAGAGCAGTGAGCAGAGGGGTCCATGGGGACAGCGGCACAAAGCAGACTTTTCTCTGTGTACTTCTTACAGTTGTTTTGAGTTTTGAACTGTACTGTATTAAAAAAAAAATGTTTTAAAAAATAATAATAGCACAATGACTATTAAAAAAAAAGACATAGTTTTTGTTATGTTTAAACTGTTTAAAGTGAAATAAAACTAGGGCTACACTGAACTCTGAAAAGCCAACAAAACATTTAACAAACATCAATCCATGTCTGGCCCTAGTTCAACAAGGGCAGCAGGATGATTCCTTGTTCTTTGGGAACACACCCTGGATGGCTATATGTTGAGTGAGAAATCTCTCTTAATCTCACCACAATTCACCCATTGTTCAGGGCCAATCCTGGCTCAAATATCACAGGCCACACAGGTTGCGGAGACTTAGCCTCTGACTTCCCACCCTGGTGCCTAGTTGCTGGACTGCGAAACCCATTGCCATCAAGTGGATTTCAACTCATGGTGACCCCATGTGTGTCAGAGTAGAACTGTGCTCCATACGGTTTGCAATGGCTGAATTTTCAGAAACTGATGGCCAGGCCTTTCTTCTCAGGTGCCTCTGGGTGGACTTGAACCCCCAACCTTCTTGTTAGCTGCGAGCACATTAACCATTTTCACCATCCAGGGATTCCCTCTGTGCTGTGAGGCATCCACCTTCCTACTTATTGAGGCTCCATCTGTTCAACAACCCTCCAGGACCTGTAGCAAAAGCCCAGCCCATGTAGAGAGCCTTGACTGAGCAGCCTCATTTCCCTCAGCTCATTAGAAATCACCATCACCGACGCTGCCCTATTTGTTTTGATGTGAATTGGACTCAGAGTCAGTTGGGTTCATTTCCTGCACTTCTAGCCTCATCTCCAACAGCAGCACACACTTACCATACAGTGTTCAAGCTTCTTTTGGAAACGCTTTCATCTCCCTGCTTAAAACTATTCAAAGGAAAATCCATTCAAGGCAATCAATTAAAAGGCACTTATTAAGTACATTTTCCAAAGTTGAAACATCTATAACAAAGAGCTGTTTAAGGCATAGATTCCAAGTTGTATTTCACCAAGGCACTGGCTAAATTAGGTTAAACATTTAGCTACAAGTGAAAAGACACTCCACACTGATCCAGAACAAGAAAGGTCAGAGAGCAAGCCCTCTGAGAGCCCTCACATGGAGGCTGAGGTAATGGAGGCTGCGGTTATCAGGGAGTTGGGCCTCTGTCTATTTGTGGAGCCCCAATCACTCTCAAGGCTTAGTAGCCTCTCTCCATGACCTCAAAGGAAGGCTTATTTGCTACACTCATTAAAGGAGAGAAAATTGGAAACATTTAAAATAGAGTGCTCCATGATTTTCAAAATCATGAGAATTTCAAGCAGGCTGGACAAAGTAGATTTTCCAGGCTGGAACAAGGGAGAAAGAAAACCAGGGAAAAATCTCCTCGAAAACAAACAAATAAATAAACGTCTATTGAGTCTGGATGCTAAGTATTTTGTTTATTTCGCCATCTTCTTTCTTCTTGGCTTTCATTTAAGTTGTATATTTTGCAAACAATAGAACTGGACAGGAATTTGGAAGCCCAGCGAATTCAGTTCAAGGCCACATTGTCTCATAAAATATAAACATTCTCCAACTCAATGCAGAAACCCCCACTTATAAGGCCCTGGGATCAGGAGGGCTTAGGAAAGCAACAAAGCTAGGTCTGCTTTCAAGGAGAACCTCCTTGCCTGACAATTAAGTCTAGAACTTACCAAAAAAAGTAAAATGAATGATTTTTAAGCTTAACTGCACTTGATTTGCAGGGAATTTGAAAGGTTGGGAAGGGAAGAGTCTTGGTTCCAGGATTCTGAGCCCAGGAAAGGAAGCTGGGCTTGAAAGACAAGGTTCTTGTTTTCTTACTACTCATCAAAATATCATCTGCTATGACACAAACTACAAAAACATCCATAATTATATAGACATGGCCATTCCATACAGCAAGTCAGTCCACTTAAGGGTAACTGCTATAAAATCATAGGACAACATGGTTATCTACTTTATAGGTATAATCCTGGCTTGTTACTCTGGCCTTGTTGTTGTTGTTGTTGTTAGACGCCGTTGGGTCAGCTCAGACTCATAGCGACCCCATATACAACAGAACAAAACACTGCCTGGTCCTGTGCAATCCTCATAATCCTTGCTATACTTCAGCCCATTGCTGCAGCCTCTATGTCAGTCCATCTTATTAAGGGTCTTTTCCTTTTTCACTAACCTTCTCTACTTTACCAAGCATGATATCTTTCTCCAGAGAGTAGTCCCTACACACAACATGACCCAAGTAGGTGAGACAAAGTCTGACCTTTCTCACTTCTGAGGGACATCCTGGCTGTACTTCTTCCAGGACAGATTTGTTCATTCTTCTGGCAGTCTCCAGTATTTTCAGTATTCTTCACCAACACTGTAATTCAAAGGCATCAACTATTCTTTGGTCTTCTTTATTCATTGTTCAGCTTCCATATTCATATGAGGTAATTGAAAATACCATGACTTGAGTGAGATGCACAGCTGTCTTCAACCTGACATCTTTGCTTCTTAACACTTTAAAGAAGTCTTTTGCAGTAGATTTGCCCAGTGCAATACAACATGTGATTTCTTGACTGCTGCTTCTATGGGTGTTGATTGTGGATCCAAGTAAAATGAAATCTCTGACTACTTCAATCTTTTTTCCATTTATCATGTTGCTGCTTATTTTTCCATCTGTGAGGATTTTGTTTTCTTTATGTTGAGGTATAATCTATATTGAAGACTGTGGTCTTTGATCTTCTTCAGTAAATGCTTCAAGTCATCTTCACTTTCAGTAAACAAGGTTGTGTCACCTGCATATTGCAGGTTGTTAGTGACTCTTCCTCCAATCCTGATGCCTTGTTCTAACATTAAAGGAGTAAAATGAGTTTGCAGAAAATCTCATGGTAGGGGGCGCATTCCAAATCCATAGTGGAAAAGAATTATCAAAACCACAAACCCGTATGGATACTTACGAATATAATTTAAAGAGCCCTGGTGATGCAGGTACCCTCAGCTGTTAACCAAAAGGTCTACAATTCAAACCCACCAGTTGCTATACAGCAGTCTGCTTCCATAAAGATTACAGCCTTGGGAAGCCTGCAGAGCAGTTCTACTCTGTTCCATAGGCTTATTTGAGCTAGAATCAAATTGATGGCAATGAGTTTGGTACATAATTTATTTGGTCAAGTCTAACAGCTTAATCTGATGTTGCTCATAACATACACACACACCCTTTCCTAAAACAAATAGGACTCTCCCCAGTTACTCACCTAGACCACCTTGACAAATGTCTGTTCGAGTAGCTCCACCAATGATAAACTGAGGGCTGGAACACAATTCCTAAAAATAATTAGGGACAAACACAAGTCACAAGATGCTCAGTGATGTTGGCTGCATGGGTAAAAGAATATCAAAACCTGTTGCTAGTCAAGTTGTCTTCAACTCATGGAGACCCTATGTATGCCAGAATAGAACTATACTCCATGAGGTTTTCAATGACTGATTTTTCAGAAGTAGGTTGCCAGGCTTTTCTTCTGATGCACATCTGGGTGAACCCAAACCGCCAACCTTTTGGTTTGCAGCTGAGCACATTAACCATTTGCACCAGCCAGGGACTTTCAAAGGAACATTAGAATCAAAATTTCAGACCTAGAAGAAACCTAGGTACTACATGTACTTGCACCGACTGCAAGTACATGTAGTCCCCAGTTTATGACATATATGAATTATGACAATCCACACTTCTGACCGTCTGTTGTGGGGTTGTTTTGCACTATATACAATGTTGCAGTGTATAATTTGCTGATGTTATTTTCAGATGTCTACTCATAGATGTTTATATGTAATAATTCTGATCGCATAAGACAAATGAAGATAGCATTTATAAGCGTACTGATAATAAGGCATTAATAATGAGAACTAAAAAAAAAAAGGTGTGTGACTTATATCAGAACCAACTTAGGATAGAGTCATCTGAACAGAACACTGTCATATGTGAGGGATTGTCCATAGTTCGTTTTATTGCCAAGACCTCTGAAACCCAGAGAAATGAGGACACCTGCCCACAGTCACACAGCTAGAGAACAGCAGAGCAGGAGCTAGCCCCTGGTACTACCAGTGTTATTATTGCTATACATGCTGTGTGGGTATTGGGTGGTGAAAGTGCCAAGGGGTGGGGACATAGGAAAAAGGCAAAGACTGGGACAATAAGGTGATGAAATATGACCTCATTCACTCAAACAACACCCCTATTTACAGAGAGAGAGAAGTAGAATAATAATTAGCACTGTAGCAAAGTGCCATGAGCCCTGCGGACGCTCATTAAATATTTGTCTAAATGATAATGATCCCATTTGCTGATGGAAACACTGAGGTGTCAGGAAGTATCATATCCAGACAGGAGAACTCAACTCTGGTATGTTCTGACATCCAGCCTACACTTCCTTCACTCGCCTACCTCAAACTGGCATCTGCCTAAAGGCAGTGTGTGACCTGAGAGCTCTGCTGGAAACCTGAGGCATACTTGAGACATTTTTTTCTTTCCTTGTTCACTCAGCAAGAGTTTATGAAGTACTCTAGGTAATGCAAACAGTTAAAACACTGCTAACCAAAAGGTTGGAGGTTCAAGTCCATCCAAAAGCATCTCAGAAGAAAGGCCTGGTGATCCAATTCCAACAAATCAGCCACCAAAAACCCTATGGGATACAGTTCTACTTTAGCACACAAGGTCACCATGAGTCAGAGTTGACTTGAAGGCAACAGGTTTCATTCTACTTGCAGTTTTATTTGTATCCTGGTGAATAAGGAGTAGGGGAGTGGAAAGAAGCAATGTGAAGGGAAGATAGAAAAGATACAAAGTACATGACTCTTAACTTCAAAGTGCTTTCAGTCTACATGGGAAATGAAGATTGATATTCATGAAAAAAATCCAAAGGAGATGCCGAGTAAATAATGATGGCATGTAGACTACATACACACAGGTAGAGAACTGAGAAAGGTCCACTTGGGATTCTGGTTGAAAGACTGTGAGATGGGAGATGTTATGTGTTCATTAAGAAAAGCAGGATTTTGGAGCAGTCAACGGAGAGATGGGCCTGCCTAGCCACCAGACAAACCGTTACCATGAAGGGACAAAAAAAAGAATTCAACCTACATTTAATCAGAGGCATCCTGGGTTATGCTACATCAAGGGCCATCTGACCACCACAAAGAGCAGCATTTCTATCTTACCCCACAGAGATGAAACAAAAAAAACAAAACCCATTGCCATGGAGCCAGTTCTCACTCATGGTAAACCCATGGGATGAGTGTCAGAGTACAACTGTGCTCCTTTGGGTTGTCCATGGCCGTAATCTTTACAGAAGCAGTTCACTAGGCCTTTCTTCCATAGTGCCAGTGGCTGGGTTCTAACCATCAACCTTTGGGTTAGTAGTTGAGCACAGACCATTTGTATCACCAGCGACCTATAGATATGTAAAAGGTAGATTGAAAAGCATGAGGAAGCAAAGAGGGTAGAGCTGAGGGCAGAAGTCCAGTGCCACAGGGTCACAGTGGGGCTTTAAACAGCTGAGCCTTCCAAGTGATGGCCCTACAACCCAATATAAAACCACCAGCTTCTGCCTAAATGGGTAGAAACAGCTCCTTTGAGCTGGTGCTTTGTA